GTCCTCCCGGATGTTAATACATTGCGTGGGGTCTCTTCTACGGGGGTTGTGAATGATTTTGTGGTTCCGTTCCTATGAGTGCTGCCTGGTTGGTATCCTGATAGCCGTTTTGCTATGATAGGTAGCAGGTCGAAAGACCAAGGAAGGTTGGGTCCGTCCTGGGTCTGTTAATGGACATGTCGGTCAGGCTTTCTAGCAGGTCCTGTCTTAAAAGGCGGATACTTAGATAGCATAGGAACTTGTATTTATGCAAGTCAAGGATTCAGCGAGGACTTGCGAGAAACCTCGAACCTCGGTTTTCCATCTAGCGGCGAGAGTGTGAACTTTGGTCGCTGCAAACGATTGTACACGATGTAACTTCTTTTTGGTCACGTGGTACGTGCTGAAGGAAATGTATTAGAAAGCCGATAATAACCCGTTTCTGATGGATTCGTAGGATTTTCCGAGTGCTAGACTACGTTGGAATCCCTTTGCGTTCCCACCATTCCGACGAACGCATTGTGCTCGCCGATTCCGTGCAACGTCTACCAATTTCCATTAACTTTTGCCGGTTAGTGCGAGCCATGTGCTCGACTTTCAGGCTCTGCTGCGTTTAATCGGTTGTCCTGTTCATCGGTTTAATTACGCGTTATACAAGCGCCTCGTCCCGGGGATGGAAGTTTCATAAATGCTCGCGTTGCGAAGCACAAACGACTGGGAATAAATGCAATTGACGCATTGTCAACGGTCGGACAGATTCGATAATGAAACGTATTCTTCCCGGACAGGATATCGTTGATTATCGGAGCAATTAACATGGCTGCTTCAACACGGTCGCCGAGTTATTTTCGCGGGCACGTGTCGATAACTCGCAGCCTCCTTTATTCCTGCTCCTGTGTACGCATATACTGTGTGCCCACCCCTGTGCGCATACGCGTACACCTTTTTCCCTCGAATGTTATTTTTCTTCCTCTTTTTCCCCCCCTTTTCTTTATCGATACATGTGACGTGGAAACTCTATTCGTTATTGTCCCAAAAAATTCCGTCGATGCGTTTCCATAAAAGTTCACCGAGTGTTTTATCGAACATCGAAACGTTTTCGAAGCCCGTCACGCGTGTATTCCGTTCGAGGTTTAGATTTTTGAGGCTTTCACCGGCGCGGAAGTTGATCCTGTCTCTCGGAGGCTTTTCCGTGAACACCGTGTGGCCCCTTTCGAACAGTACTCCGACGGTGTTTCATCAACGTTGCAGCTTCATCAGCTTCTGACGACAGAGTGATGCATTAGTATCGGTATCAGTACTTGGGTATCAGTGTGTCATCAGAGCCTTGATGAAGCTATGGTTGCAGCAATTCCGGGATGTAACGCTGGAACACTGTACCGAAAGGAAGCAATCTCCGCGCACGAGCAGCTCGAATAACAGTGTCCGAGAATTAACCATTCCCGTTATTTTCTTTTAATAATCCTTTTCCACCTGCCATAATCCTTTTCTCCACGCAGAATACCCGTACGCGTGTCTGTCATATTCGCGAAACACGCGTTTACGAGAACGCAAGCTGTGACCTTAAAATTTATATTTCCGACATCCGACGCGATTTTTGTTCTATTCTAACGAGAAAATGTTAAAAATTTATAGTCGCCCTTCATTTCCCGTTCGCTTCCGCGAATTTGGAGGCCCATCGATCGATCGCGACTGACATTAGGCATCGAAAGGGCCGACAAAAACGCAGATGCATTTGCATCTCGCGATGCAACTGCGGCCTACCGGAAAAACATAAATGATTCAACGGTTTTTGCGAGTAGGTCGGAAAGGGGGGCGCTCCGGGTGGCCCCGGGGCCGGGGGCCATAGTCGATCGGAGCGTGCCAAATTGTCAAATAAATGCATGAAAAATGGCCGCGCGAACGGCGTCGGGCGTGAGGAAGGAGCGGCCGCTTTCAAACCGGAAGTTCCGGAAGGTCGACTATGAAATTTCCATCGAGAATGACGCTCTTGCGCTCGACTGTCTGAAATTATCCAAGTCGTCCCTATTCGGCGTGCAACGAACGGCTCGGCACGTCCGAAATTGAAAGGCGACCGATGTGGGTAACGTTAGCGAGGGAACTGCGGTTCGTGGGATCGGTAAATGCATTGGAATAGCGGCGAAATGCGGCCGCGAGAAAAGGATAGGACGAGTAAATGGATATTTTCTATGGAAATTCGACGATAACAATTTTCAGGGGGGAAAAAATCGGTGACGCGTCCCTGAATACTTGCAGTTTGCAGAAGCATTAATTTTTCAGAACGCATATACCGGGATGTACCGAGACTAATCGATAGCAGTACGGTGTAGTTACCGATGTACAAAATGTTTAATACTTTTTACATTTCCGTGGCTGTATATCCCTTGCGCTTTATCGACTTTTTCCTGCTTTTACCATTCAAATATAGCTGGAAACGTCGAACTCGCGCGTTCTCGTTTTACCGTACCTAATCGCGGCTTGAAGCTTCGCAAAGGCTCGAATATATCTATAATAAATATTACTCGAACGCGTATATGTGGGAATGTTGAGCGCGGCGTGGTTAGGGTCTAAGATTACCGCCTGTGACAGTACTCTTGTGCGAGTGTTGCCCGGAGTGCGTGCGAAAGAACGATACGAGTGAAGAATGAAATACGTCTGAGTGTTTAGGACCCACCGTGAGAGCGAGGCTCACGGAGTACGCGAGTCTGACTCGTGAAGAAAATTTTAGGACCAAACTTGAATATCACGAGTCAGACTCGTTGCTCAATTTTATGCCAAACGTGGTTACCACGAGTCTGACTCGTGATCGATATTTCGGCCAAACATGAATATCACGAGTCTGACTCGTGATCGACATTTCAAGCTAAACATGAATATCTCGAGTCTGATTCGTGGTCTGTGACACAGTACCTTTTGTGTAGACACGGCTGTAGAGTTCAAGCTTTAAATAAGGATACAAGGGAGTGAAACGGGACAGTTCTTTGAGAGATAGACAGTGCGAAAGTCGTAAGTTTAGAATAAGTTAGTTCACGATAAATTATATTTGTTATTTACCACTGTCGTTTCGCTGCCACCCAACAATCCCACATATACGCGTACACGAGTACATCGAATAAATCGCAGCAGCAGTTCCAAGTAGTTCGACTCGAAGATTAGACGTACCAGTAGTGTCAACCTCGTCTATCCCTCTCGCCCACTCTGCAACAGCTGTCTATCTCGTTTGCTTGTACGTGACGAGAAAGCTTCTAATTCGTAAGTTTATAGCAGAAGCTTCTAAAAATATCTGCTACGTTATTAATAACCGAATCGAACGAGTCTATACCCACGAGTAGTCAGTTAAATGGAGATCGGGAGGGCAGGGTAGCAAGAGACAGAAGGAGGTATATATATATCATGGCGAGCATAATATCGGTTTTCGAAGCTATCACAGAATCACGGAAGATTCGGTAAGGTGGTACATAACTCCGACGACGTCGACTGACCGTTATGTGTCTAGCCGCGATTATTAGTCAAGCTGTTCAGAGTTTTGGAATATTCGGCTATCGAACGGCGGAAATGGTATATACGGGCCCGGACAGGAATCACTGGGTGCCGCGGAATACAGGGGGGAATATCGAGAAAGTTTTAACGGCGCTTCATTAGCGAAAATAGTTTTGGCACGGCGGTATTCAACGGCGAAACGTCCGCCGCGAGTCATCGCTAATCCGAAGGCACGCTCGCGGAATAGTTGCAGCCGCTCGACGTTCCTTCGTGACAATAATCACAGACCGGCTGACGAGCAACTCGGTGATACAGGGGAAGGGAAACACGGCGAACGGCAAAAACTGACAACCGGAGAGATTACCGCCTATGGATTAACGTTGCGTGCTTCGCATGGCTCGGAACACGCTGCCTTTTTGCCTTCCGCTTGTTCTGCAACGATCCGTTTCTCAGAACCATTCTTACCCCGTGAAATCACCGTTCTTCGTCTCTTCGACGTTTTTCCAAAATTTATTTACGCAGGAGATCAAGGTGGAGGTGGGTCAACGTAGTAGTGAAGCGAAGTCGCTACTAGCAAGTCTCTGTCAAGACTGCATTCCGCGACTTACCGACTAACGAACTCGTGACTAGACAACTGACACCTATGGAACTCCAACTGACTGTCTTAACACATTGCTCACGAGTTTCCTCGTGTTTCGCGCGCCATCTGTTAAGGACCGTTCACGAATTTTCTCGAGTTTCGCGCGCCATCTGTTATGGATCTTAGCTGTCAACACACTGTCTCTTCAAAGTGTGCGGTCCCTGGCATATTTTCTAGAGATTTTTATGCGGTATGCAACGTGTTAACAACTCTCAACTGTCTTACCAACTAATTCTCATGACTCTCTTACCAACTATGTGTCAAAAACTGACTCCATCTTCCAGAATAGGCCCTTTTAAAGCCTGTCTAGACGGCAAACACCTCCCCAAAGGAGGAGAGACTTCCTCCTTGCCAAGGTCAATGGTGGAGGAGACTCCTCCTTCCGGGTTAGGCCCTCCGAAGGTTCGTGCTCACGGAGAGCCTTCCCGAGAGGTGACCGCGGCATTGTCATCCTCAATTTACGACGGGGAATGCCGGGATTGTGCGAAGTCACTTCGCGTGGCTTGGTCCCAACCTCCTATGGCCCATCTGGCAGCGAAATCCTAAGTGCTGAAGTCTAATAGCCTAAATTAGCCTTTTGAACGACGCCTCGTGTCCGGCGACCCGAGGCAATGTAGAAGTTCAACTAGAGTCAGGAATTGCTCAGCATTTAGGATTTGGCTACTAAACGACCTGTTACTGTCTAGTCTACGTCCTAAAAATATCCTACATTTACCTATTTCATTTTTCGCGGGTAATAACCTGTCAGCGTGTAACAGACGCGCGCGATCTGCGGGTTACGAGAAAGTGGGCATAACTTATTAGACCGTAGATTTTGACAGTCTGATTGTGACTACCTCCCATCTCGTGTCTCCGCGTATTTTAGGAACTCTCTAGTTTGTCTGTAATGGTGAAACTATAGGCCTGTATGTCCTTCGTCTACTGACGATTTATAGACTCTTACTTGGGCCTAGTCCAAGTGGTGTCAAGACAGTCTGCGAGTCGTGGGATTCTGGTATTAAAGGAATAACCTTATCCTGGGTCTTCGAACTTTGGGAATGAGTACAGGGAATGAACAGAATTGTCGGACGCAACAATCGGTTTAACACGTTAAACGCCACGCCGGTTTCACGTACCGTTCCGTTCACGTCACAGTTAGCCGTCATGCGGTCGCTTTCGAGCCGTACGGAAAGTCTAGCACCGATCCCTAGGCACCGGCGTAGCGTTTAACCCTTTCGCGACGTATATATACGACAGTCACTTATTGTTTCACAGTAGATAATAAACGACAGTCATTTATTGGCCCACAGCGGCTGATGTCGTCTAGCTGCAGCAAATCGTAATTATATTACCGTTTTATTTCAACAACGAACTCGAAATAAAGCTAGTACAGGGATTAAACAGCTCAGACAATGGCGGGGAAGTATTCAGTTGTGCCGTCGCGAAAGGGTTAACGCGTTGAAAGGAATGCTAATTAATAGTCGCGTATGTAGAACAAGTCAGAGCAGTCCGAGTTAGGCTCTATATATCGTAAGCAGCTTCCATTAAGTCGCCGTGTACATATGCAATGGCTAATATCTCGTTAGTCCTAAGAAACGCGCATCAACGAACACGACATGTGCTGAAAACCCGTTGATCTGTCTGCTTCTAGTGGCGGCACGTAGGAGAGGACAAAGCCGCGTAAGGAGCGCTGCTCGAGGACAGCTCTGGCGTAAGTGACATACCAGCTGCTTGCCTCTTGACCCTCTCAGACAGCCAAATCTCACTTGTCATCCGACTATCAACGCGAAATCCCAGTTTCCATAAACACGCGCGCTCAGCGACGAAAGAAAGACGGAAATAAAAGGAAGGAAACGATAGAGATGCAATAATAGGCGGATTTTTGCACCCTTGCGCGTGGCTGTCGAACGGGCAGCGTCGTGGTCTGGGGAACGGGAATGTTCCATTTCTAGCCACGGTCGTATTGTCATAACGGGGTGACTCGTAATTACGAGCATCTTTTTTGCGAACGGACGTCGACGGCGGCGCGAAAACGGGGCGGAGACGACGTGGCGCACGGATGGAGCGTTTAACGACTGGCAATCAGGATCCAGGAAACGGCGCGTTGCCTTTATCCTGTCCTCGCACACGTCCACCCTGCCACCATTTCTCCACGGTCTGGCGACCGGCTGATTTTTTATTCTTCCTGGCAAAACATTTTTTTCCCGCCGGTTCTCTATCCTCGAGTCCCCTCTCACCACGCCCATCCTGTCGTCGTTTGCACGAAGTGAGCTATCCGCGCTTTTAATATACGCAAATGAAGTTACGCTCCGGAACTAATGATATTTGCATGCGGAACGGCGATCTCCTTTGAGCCCTTGTCGCACTTATTACTACAGTTTAGTCGTACGGAGGACGTTTTACGACGGGAAACCGACCTGCATGAAAATGCCGATCGATCAGTCGTCTTTTGTTTCGATTCGCCATCTTATATGGAATAATTTCCATCTTCGCGTCGCCGCCACCGTCGCGCCATGTATGCACCGATACTACTTGCGAACGTCGAACCACGCGACTGTCATCGCGAATGACGACGATGTTGAATTTTAGCAACACGGTTCCTTCGCTTTTTTCCTTAGATAGTAACCGTATACGTGTTTCACTGTTCCGTCCAAATTTCGTATCGAATTTATGCAAACGAATTCGATTTAATTGGCATTAATTTGGTCCCGTAAAATCAGTCAAATCAGAGTATAAAAGTGCCAGTGTCTGTTTTAACTTTGCGTATAGAAGGAAACGGTAATGTAAGAGCCAATTTGTCTGATCTGTTCAATTGACAGTGATTCCTTCCGTGACGATGATATCGGTGGTTTCGGTGGTGTCACTTTGACAGCGTTAGAAGTCACGGCTTAAAGTATAACATATTTACTTAAAATTTAACAGTGCCCTATATTATTCATGACTATTGTAGCTATATTTCAACATTCGACAGGTGAGATAGGATTATAGGCATCGTTATTAAATTATACTTCTTCCTGCTTCGAGATGTCTCCGCGAGAGTTTATTTCTTGGAAAAATCACGCGGAGATACCTGTCGATGAAAGTCGGCGATGGATACAATTATTTAATTTTCGCGTTAAAATTGCAGTTCCGGTGTTGGAAAATTTCTCTACTAGGTAAAACGCGTGAAAGTTTCCGCGAAGAATTCGTGTCCCGATTCGTCACGTGCCGGAGCTAGGCGATCAAATAATTCAGATTGGAATCCCGAGGGTGGACGAATCGCGACTCGATCAAAGATTTTCAATTACGTCAACGAACAAAGTTTCGTTTTATCGGTGGTCCGCGAGTCGCGCTTCCATGACAGGGGGATTACGCTATTACACATTAATGAAAGCGCGGCTCTCGCGTAAGATACGTTACGAATGAAAGATAAACGCCATCCTCCTGAGACACTGTTTGCAGAGCACTCATTGTACGTTACCCGAGAAGTTTCCGCAACTACGCCGAAACGATATTCTTGCCGGGGCTGAAACTTTCGATGAAACGTGACATTTTGTCATTTCTCCGCAATCATGCTTAATTAATTATCGATCGGGCCTCGCCCGGGTCCTCGTTTCCGTCTGCGAGTCGATAAACGTCTCTTCTTCCGTAAATTTCCATTAGCAAACGGTGTATTTGATTTATAGATTTACACGCGAGGGTAAGCTTTGTTGCCCTGCCTCGCCGGAAGCAGATTGGTCATAGTCGCGTTGCTTTTATCGTCATTTTGTTCGCGTTTAATCCGCCAGAGGAAAATATGCCGCCGCTCGAGTCCACACGCATAGAGATAGAACTGTGAGACCGTCGTTCCCAACCTTACCGCTAGATGGATTCCTACTTGAAAGAGGTTCGAGGACTTTCTCGCAAGTACTTAGTAGGAACCCATCGTTTCCTATATATACGATTTCCAAGCTTTCCAATAGTATCCACGTCTAAGGCATGGTGCGTTTAATCCGCCAGAGGAAAATATGCCGCCGCTCGAGTCCACACGCATAGAGATAGAACTGTAGAGACCGTCGTTCCCAACCTTACCGCTAGATGGATTCCTACTCGAAAGAGGTTCGAGGACTTTCTCGCAAGTACTTAGTAGGAACCCCTCGTTTCCTATATATACGATTTCCAAGCTTTCCAATAGTATCCACGTCTAAGGCATGACCTGTTAGATAGCCTTACAGCGATGAGACCACTAGCGGGCCCAGGACAAACGCATCCCCTCCCTTTTCCTTTCGTCCCTTCTAACTCCGCCGCTACATCGAGGATACCTGTAATAACTGGATATCAACAACCGTGGGGGGAGGACCCCCTTATAGAGCGTAGGGAATGAAAAGAACGAATTTTCAACTAACCTCGGTGAATCCTCGACTTTCATAAACACAAGTCCCCCTATGGTACCTAAATATCCCGTCTAAGGCATGGTCTGTTAGATAGCCTTACAGCGATGAGTCCACTACCTAGCAGGCCCAGGACAAACGCATCCCCTCCCTTTTCCTTTCGTCCCTTCTAGCACCGCCCCTACATCGAGGATACCTGTGACAACTGGATTTCAACAACCGTGGGGTGAGGACCCCCTTATAGAGCGTAGGATAAAGAAAAGAACGAATTTTCAACTAACCTCGGTGAATCCTCGACTTTCATAAACACAAGACCCTATGCTACCTAAATATCCCGTTTAAGGCACGGCCTGTTAGATAGCCTTACAGCGATGAGTCCACTACCTAGCGGGCCCAGGACAAACGCATCCCCTCCCTTTTCCTTTCGTCCCTTCTAGCACCGCCGCTACATCGAGGATACCTGTGACAACTGGATTTCAACAACCGTGGGGGGAGGACCCCCTTATAGAGCGTAGGAAAAAGAAAAGAACGAATTTTCAACTAACCTCGGTGAATCCTCGACTTTCATAAACACAAGATCCTATGCTACCTAAGTATCCCCGTCTAAGGCAGGGCCTTCTCGAATTTTCAACTAACCTCGGTGAATCCTCGACTTTCATAAACACAAGACCCTATGCTACCTAAGTATCCCCGTCTAAGGCAGGGCCTTGTTAGCCTTACCGCGATGAGTCCACTAGCAGGCCCAGGATAATACGCCATCCCCTCCCTTTTCCTTTCGTCCCTTCTAGCACCGCCCCTACATCGATTATACCTGCGACAAGTGGATATCAACAACCGTGGGGGGGAGAGCCCCCTATAGAGCGTAAGGAAAAGAAAAGAACGAATTTTCGACTAACCTCGCGAACGTTTCGCCCCGAGATTTGATTCCTGCGGTTCGACTCGACGATATGAAACGCGAACCCACCCTACGCCGATGTGTACTACGTGTACCAACGACGGTCGAGACTCGTTAAGTACTAGCTCGTGTTATTGGGTGATAAACAACGGAAGCGGACGAAACGTCGATTCGATTTGACGCATAGGGGTAGAATTTTCTTGAAATTTAACCGGTGCACGTGAATACCGGTTCGGCATTATCGTCTGCCGCAACGAATGTTGCATTTCGGTCACGCGCGATCGAGTATTATCGTTGTCATTGTTATATCGACCATTCGTGGGGTAGCGAGCATACGGCTGAAATCGTAGTCTAGAGCAGCGCTTACGGAATATTGCGGTTCCGAACACGCTGTATCGAGATACCGCCTCGCGTTCCCATTGCCACAATGCGTTGGCGCAATTAAAAAATGCAGATTCGCGCGAATGTGGTGGACGTAATTACGGATCTCGAGATTCCTACGACGATTTCCCTCGGTCCGCGGGAATGATTTATGGCTGTTGTTGATACCCGTTTATCAGCGGCTTAATTCCAAATTCGGTGGTTAATTACTCGCGAGAAGAAAGTCCGGGGTATTCTCGGCGAATCTCGCGCGATCGACGGTTACCGAGGGTAACTCTCGACACGCGACGTTCGAATTTGATGAAATTTGATGGAATCTACCCACCCTGATTAACCAACTAACGCAACGACTTTATACTAACACCCTCTCTTTCTCTTCTTTCCAGATTCTCTGTAACTCGTCTCACTAACACCCACGCTTCGTCTGCCAACGAACG